CCCCCCTTTAGAGATGTCAATGTCCTCCCACGAATGAAGTGACAGTGTGAGGCAATTAGTCATCCACCCGTACTGCAGTCCCATGGACGAAGTGACAGTGTAAGGCAACTAGTCATCCACCCGTACCCACGGACGAAGTGATAGTATATCCAAATCTCATCCTATGATCACATGCGCTACACTCACCCCCCTCTAATACTAACTGTACCGCATCCTATCTCTCTCCCCTTAAGCCAACTGGAAAAGGGGCAATTGTTTGATGAGAGAGCCCTTAGTGGCTATTTTATCCCCATTTATCCCCCAAGGTTCCAAGGATCACGGTGACAATATATTTAAATCTCATCTTATGATCACATGCGCTACAGCCCCACTTTCTTGACACTTTAATTCTCAGGTTAAACTCATAATGTGACAAGTCTAAATATCAATCTTAACATCAATTGAAAAAAAAAAGGTGCACTCTTATTTGTGGGCCCTTTCCCTTTATATTTGAACTTTTATGGATTCTCTTTTATGTCATTCTTTTTGGTTGTTTATAATCTATGATACTTCCTTGTAAGCTTCCTCATTAATGGAAGTTAAAAGCTGTAACTCTCTTGAGAAGTCTACTCTCTTGACACCTTATTTGCCCATCCAAAGGTAAATTGGACCAGACTTCTTTGTGGACTTCCTCATGAATGGAAGTCAAGAGTTGTAACTTTCTTAAAAGGTTTGCTCTCTTGACACTTTACCCCTTGGGTCGAGCCCACTTAGAGGCAAATTAAACCTACCAAATGTTAATTTTAACATGTAATATGATTCTCTTAGTTTCCTGAAAAATCACCCAACCTAACACTATTCAAACTAGGATGTTTAACATAAATATTTTAAGACCCTTAATCAATTGAAAAAAAAAATGCAATGAACCATTTCCCTCTATATTTAAATCATTATGAATCATCTCTAAAATTTTATTCTCTTTGGTTACTTACAGAAACAAGATGTTATAAAACATCTTTTGCAAACTTACCTTGTTTTTAACAAAATGGTTGCCTAAAATGCACTCTAAGTTCCCTTTAACCATCACAAATATCCTACTTTAGTGCACCATGTGAGGAAAATGTCTTCACAAGTGCTTAGTGGATTATGTCTTATTTTTCCAGTTCACTTTAGAAGAAATATACTCAAGGAAACAACATGTTTTGTCAAGCTTGACAAATTTGAAGGGACCCACCACCTACACATCCAATGCACTTGTAAACACCAATCAACATCCACATCGAGATCAGTGGGATCAAAAACAAGGTTGTCCATTGAGTAGGCTTTCCACTGCTGCCAGTTGGAGATATCCTGATGCACTTGGTGCATATAATTGGCCTCACAGTGTCGTGCGCCAACTTGCCTCTAACGTGATCATTGACACCGGCCTGTTATAGTTATCAGTCAGAACTATAGGACCTGCTGGAGTCATTCTTGATTATGAAGCCCTTGTCTTTTGTTGACCCTTAGAGATATTTGAGGTGGGAAGAACTTCATGGGGAGTTACCTTTGGGAAAGACAAGATATGTCTAGGGAGTGGTCCTTGGAATGCCAAATTTCCTGAGAAGATGACACTTGAGAGTTTCAAGAATTTCGAGACTTCTGGACAGACTTTGAATGGGAACAACACAAGAAAGAAATTAAACAATAATTTACACTATTAATCTCCTACGAGTCTAAGATCTTACCGTGTTACAGTAGCTGAAAGTCCAAGTCCAACCTGGAGAGCTATAAATCTTACCCAAGTTTTCATGAGAAAGGAGAACAGATATATTATTATGGATGTCGCATGGAAGGATTTGAGTGTGAGCGCGAGAAATGGACGAGTGTTGCTGGAGACTATGTGTGGCTATGCCCAGAGCGGCCAAATCACGGCGATCATGGGTCCTTCGGGATCCGGAAAGTCCACCTTGCTCGATGCGCTTGCTGGTATAGTTTTCCAAGATTGATTTGGGTTGGGCAATAGATTAAAGCTCGAGATTCTTGCATTGTCGTTCATCACAGGTAGATTGGCCAAGAACGCGAGGCGAGAAGGATCCATTTTTGTGAATGGGAATCTCCAGACGAACATGAGGCATGGGACTGCGGTGTGTATATAAACATTTGATTCTGTGATTCTCAAACTTTCTGTCATAGGCCTATGTGAAACAAGAAGATGTTTTGCTAGGAACACTCACTGTCTTAGAGACAATCACTTACTCTGCTCAATTGAGGCTGCCTCACTCACTGCCGCAAAGCCAAAAGATGGAGATGGTTGAGAGTGTGATCACTGAGATGGGGCTTGGAGATTGCAGGCATACAGTGGTGGGAGGTTGGTTCTCGCATGGATTGAGCGGAGGGGAGAAACGAAGAGTGAGCATTGCTTTGGAGATTCTAACTCAGCCATCTCTTTTGTTCATGGACGAACCAACCAGTGGTTTAGACAGGTGAATATTTATATGATTTTTAAGTCCGGTTTATTGTAATTTTTATTTGATGTTTTCTTTGCAGTGCATCTGCGTTTTATGTGATTAAAACAATTAAGAACCTAGCTACTTCAAAACGCACTGTTATTATGTCAATTCACCAGCCAAGCAGCGAAGTGTTTGAGCAGTTTGATAATCTTTGCCTACTATCTCAGGGAGCACTTGTATATTTTGGAGATGCCATGGAAGCTAGCACGGTACTTTTCTCAAATTTGATATTCTTTATGTTTTATATTTTATTTTAGTTCTTCGAGAGTGCTGGATTTCCTTGTCCTCTCCGAAGAAATCCATCAGACCACTATCTTAGAGTTATTAATTCTGATTTTGACAATGTTCAAAACAAGTTTAAGGTATTAATTTGTACTATTTTCTGGAGATTTTTTTCTTAATATTCATCTCAATTTGAACAGGAAGATATTGAAACTCAAGAAAAAGTTCCAGCTTCTGAAGCAATCAAAGTGCTTACAAATGCATTTCAGAATTTGCATTTGAGATCCCTCCACACAAAAGTTGACATTCTTTGTGTGACTAAGGTGAACCTTCTAGACAGTTTGTGTGACACACCTGGTGCAAAGGTAAATGACTTGATTTTTTAAAACATTATGATTATTAATGGATTACTATTTATAGAATGAATGCATCCAGATGCCTCAAGCAGGAGTTCTCCATCAGCTTTCCACGTTAACTAGAAGATCATTTCTAAATATGACAAGAGATATTGGATACTATTGGCTGAGAATCTTTGTGTACTTTATGCTTAGCATCGTTATTGGCAGTATATATTTTAATGTTGGCACTAAATACAACTCCATTGCAGTAAGAGAATACCAAAAAATATTCCTAACCATGGTTAAGCTCGTTTGTTTTTTTTAAGGCAAGGATTGGCTGTATGGCTTTTATTGGTAAATTTCTTACGTTTATGTCAATTGGAGGTTTTCCATCTTTCATTGAAGAGATTAAGGTATGGGATAGTTCTGAATTGTCTTGTTTTCATATCCAGTGATATTTTCTTCAGGTTTTTAATCATGAGAAACAAAATGGTTACTATGGTCCCATTGTGTTTACTCTCGCAAACACACTCTCTTCCATTCCTTATCTCCTTCTTATTTCATTGATATCAACAAGTGTATTTTATAATATGGTTAAACTCCACCCAGGCTTTGATCACTTCATATTTTTTATGTTGAACTTATTTGCATCTGTGACCGTCGTGGAGAGCTTGATGATGTGTGTAGCATCAATTGTTCCCAATTTTCTCATGGGAATAATTACAGGATCTGGAATCTTGGTAAATCTCTTTATATTTCTTAAACCGTTTCTAATGCGATTTTTCAGGGGTTATTCATGCTTGTTGACGGATTTTTTAAACTTGCTAATGAACTGCCAAAAGGTTTTTGGAAATATCCAATGCATTATATAGCATTTCAAACATATTTACTTCAGGTAAAACAAATATTATTTATTTTCTTGAAATTAAAAAAACTATAATAGGGTCTTTATGAAAATGATTTTCAAGGGCTTGAGTTTGATAATAATGATATATCTGAAGGAAAGCTATCAGGAACAACAATTCTTAAACAGTATCAAGTAGATCTCTCAAGATCTAAATGGTTGAACTTTATAATCCTGTTAAGCATGATTTTGGTTTATCGAGCAATTTTTATTACTATCATCAAACTCACTCAGCTCATAGATGGGAAAACTCTGATGTTTAAAATTAATAGTAAGACCTTTAAGAAAATAAATGCTTAAAATTAAAAGTATGGCTTCATGAGCTTGTCATTCACGTTTCACTTGTCATATTTATAAATGATCTTCTGGCATCTAGTAAGTGTCACGCAAATTGTCTTCAACCTTCATGTAACTTTTGTGTGGAGCAGAATTCAAATGCAAACTGAGAACTGAAACACAATATGCTTTTGTAAGAAATGCATTTGTAAGCGCTTTGATTGCTTCGTAATTATCTTTTGAGTTAGCCAAATGCCTTAGTCATGTAATTAGTGACACCCATGAATGGGATTCCCACTGATGCTCTGCACAGAAAATAATCAAATAAATCAGACATAATAATTACTTCTCTAAATAACTAAAAGATGATTGCGTTTGGGTTTCCAAAGCAATGCTCAGTCTTCATTTCTTCCCTCCACTCAATCCATGCGAGAACCACTGTCTCCAAGCCCCATCTCACTGTCAACCATCTCCTCTTTTGGCTGCGTGGTAGGCTGCCTCAAATAAGCAGAGTAAGTGATTGTCTCCAGAACAGTGAGCTTTTCCAGCAAAACATGCTCTTGATTTACATAAGCATCTGATAGAAAGCTTCAGAATCACTAAATCAAATGTTTATACACACCGCAGTTTCATGCCTCATGTTTGTCTGGAAATTCCCATTGGATCCTTCTCGCCTACCTATGATGAACGACAATGCAAGAATCTTAGTCTCAAACACATGATCAATCTTTAGAAAACTCTATCAGAATGCACGTCGAGCAAGGTTTGACTTTCCCGAGCCTGGCTGGACCCTGATCTGAAGATTTAAAAGTCGACAAAACTAGCAAGAGGCCAATTCTTTTCAAACTTTCTAAAGGTTTGTCCCATCCAGTCTTGCCGTGCTATGGCTTCTCAAGGTACGTCGTCTCCAAAGATCCATGTCCTCGCATTTCCCGTCAAAGGCCAGGGACACATCACTCCGATGATGCATCTCTGTAAAAAGATCGCCGCTCGAGATGGATTCACCGTCTCGTTCGTCAATGTCGACAGCCTCCACGACGAGATGATCAAGCACTGGAGAGCTCCACCCAATACGGACCTCCGCCTCGTCTCAATCCCACTCTCCTGGAAGATCCCACACGGCCTGGATGCTCACACTCTCACTCACTTGGGTGAGTTCTTCAAGACCACCACCGAGATGATCCCAGCTCTCGAGCACCTCGTCTCCAAACTCTCTCTCGAGATCTCGCCGGTCCGCTGCATCATCTCGGACTACTTCTTCTTCTGGACCCAGGACGTTGCTGATAAGTTCGGGATTCCAAGGATTGTTCTGTGGCCTGGATCCACTGCCTGGACCACGATTGAGTATCACATACCCGAGCTCATCGCCGGAGGCCATGTCTTTCCCAGCTTGACCGAAGGTAACTCCAATTTAAGTTTAAGTTCTGCCAATGGCAGTCACGTACGCCTCGAAACTTTGCAGCGAAGAAGCTTGTCGCGGATGAATCTGTAGTGGGCATTATCAAGGGACTGGGACCTCTTCATCAAGCCGACGTACCTCTCTACTTGCAAGCTGACGATCATCTCTGGGCGGAGTACTCCGTGCAGCGAGTCCCCTACATCCGCAAGGCCTCCTGCGTGCTCGTCAACTCCTTTTACGATCTGGAGCCGGAAGCTTCCGACTTCATGGCCGCCGAGCTCCGGAAAGGTGGCACGGAGTTTCTCTCTGTCGGTCCCATGTTTCTCCTGGACGAGCAGACGTCCGAGATCGGACCAACCAACGTGGTGCTCAGGAACGAGGACGGCGAGTGCCTGCGGTGGCTCGACAAGCAGGAAAAGGCTTCCGTTCTCTACATATCTTTTGGCAGCATCGCGGTCGTGACTGTCGAACAGTTTGAGGAGCTTGCGGTGGGACTGGAAGCAATCGGAAAGCCTTTCTTGTGGGTGTTACGGCCAGAACTTCTCATTGGAAATCCGGTAGAGAAGTATAAGGAATTCTGCGAACGTACCTCCAAGCAGGGATTTACTGTGTCCTGGGCACCGCAGCTACGAGTTCTGAAACACCCCTCCATCGCTGCGCACCTCAGTCACTGCGGCTGGAACTCGGTGCTGGAAAGTATCAGCAATGGAGTGCCTCTCATGTGTTGGCCTTGGGGAGCTGAGCAAAACACCAACGCAAAGCTGGTTATACACGACTGGAAGATTGGAGCTGGATTTGCAAGAGGGGCGAATGGACTGATCGGCAGAGGCGACATCGAAAAGACGCTGCGGGAGGTGATGGATGGGGAAAGAGGGAAGCAGATGAAAGACACGGTTGAGGTGCTGAAGTGCAAGGCAAGGAAAGCTGTGGAGAGTGGTGGTCGATCCGCTGCGAGCTTGGATGATTTTCTTAAAGGCCTCAGCAGCCAGTGATGCAATGATAAGTTATCACTGCAAGTGCTAGCGTGAGATGGCAAACATGTGAAAAACTTACATGCCGCGAATTTGTCAAGCTTGACAAAACATGAAGCGAATAAAATATTCGTCTACCTTGCAACGCCTTTGTTGACTGGAAAAAACAGGACCGAAATCCACCGTTGAATAGCACTGATCTCTTTCTCATCACATGTAAATGCCGTGATCGATCGCGCCGTGTTTGATCAGCCACGACAGAGCAGGATTCTTAGTGAAGGCTGAAAAGGAGCAGCAGGAATAGTGCCACAGCATTAAGGATAGGCTCCCATCGTAGCAGGCTTCTCCTTGCTTCTCATTACACTGCCTCTTCCTTGTTCTCTATAGAAAACTTCCTCATCAAGCACGTCGCCCTAGGGTGAGTAATCTCTTCTGCATATCCTGGAATTCTGTTTCAGGGAACACGCATGCCGAGGACAGCTACGTCGGAGAGAAGACCACCCGGATGGTGAAACTGGCCACGAGTTATGTCAAGGAGTCCCTTGGAGGAACCAAGGACGATGCTCTCTTCTTCTGCGACTCTGGAACCACTGCAGCTGTGAAAAAGCTCCACGAACTTTTGGGCTTGTCGGTGCCACCCCAAATGAGAGACTCATCCGTGGCATCGATGACAGGTGTTCATAACCGCCTGTGTCCCCCGTGTCGAGCAAACCTCCGCCGAGCTGTGTGTCTGCTCGTGAGGGGTTTCGGTGGTGTGTGCCGTTTGTAACAAACATCATCTTCCCCAAGGCAAAGTCTTGCCGACAATCTGTCAACTGTTTAAACTACAGGTTATTCTGACCGATGATGGATTGATCGACATGAAGCACCTCGCTGCACGCACGCCGTCCAAAGCTAACGGGGGATACCAGCCATCGCTCGCCTTCTACACAAACATGGAGCAGTATAGCATGCTTTGATTTGGCAAGCTGGTAAGACGAGATCAGAACGAAAAGTGATTGTTTAGAATTTTTGGGTAGCTGTTACAATGACCATCATAGAATATCTTTTGTCTTTAATATTTGATACATGCTCAGGAAAAAAATGAATATGAATTGGAGCCCCTAGGTATCTTGCCTTTTAGTCCGTTTTATACATTAGTAAACATGTGTATACACAAATTTAGTTTTTTTATAAGATCGATTTTATATATGTACACAAATTTAGTTTTTTTATAAGATTGATTTTTGATACACCAAATCCCTTATTTGAGATTGATTTGCAATTTCAGACTTCTTAAACGACTAGTTTCCTTGTCTATAAAGATTGTATTTTTGTCTGACTTCACCATATTTACCATTTCATATTGTTTTATGAGATTTTGGTACGCAATAATAGTTTTTTTAAGTCATCAAAATTTATATGAGCTCTCTTTATCACATATTCACGATAAATTTTAATGTATAAATGTAGGTGCATTTTGTCTGATACTAAGTCTTTACAATGTTTATAACATTTAATTAAGTTGTATATTCCTTGATTGTTTCAGATTTTCCTTGATAAAGTTTTTGTAGTTCATCATAATTTTCTCCTGGGTTTGTTTCCATGAAAAAATCTTTAAGGAAAATTTTTGTTTGTTTATCAAATGTGCCAAGCTTTTTGACATCATTATTATAATACTAATCTTTGGCTTGCCTTTTTAGTGTATAGGGGAAAAGAATTTTTTCTGTATATCTACTTGATTAAGCTTAATTGCTTCTATGTATTTCTCAATATACAGTTGTGGGTCTTTTCCTTTAATCTTAGAAAAGGATGGATATGTGATGATGGTATTTATTGCTATTCCTGCAATTGCCATCATGTTCATTGCAATTTGATATAAAATGCTCTATTTTGCAACTAATATAGACAAAATAGGTATTTGGTTCCTAGATCATCGTTAGAGGGTTTATAAATTTAACTTTTCTGCCTTTTATAGGGTATTACTTTAATTGTTTTATGTTCCACTATTCTCAGTTGAACTAGAGGCATTTTCTATGTGCCAATGCTGCTAAAGAGAATAGCATATGGATTTACGTATTTTGGATGATTATCAAAGTCGTATTGGGATTTTTAATCTCCTTTTCATTGAGGTGTACTTAATATGCTTTCAGCTCACTCTCTTTCAAATTTTTCTCTAGTTTGGTTAAGCAATGATTTAGTTTGTTATGAAGGGAGGTCAAGATTGCAAATATCATGAGCAAGTACTCTATAATCTCGTTTTAGATCTTGTGAATATTTCTTTTCAGACTACCTTTTACTATTCAGATTGTGAGGGAAATATTGTATATCTATTACCTTATTTGGTATAGACAGTGATAATTTTATATATAGGGACTATTCCTTTTAAAGCTTTATAGGTAAGATCAATTGTTAGTTTATGCTTATATATTTCCAGGTTTGTTGGCATTGTTACTATGGCAAGCCTAGTTATTATGCCTCGTTCGTGGAGTGAGTGGTACAAAGTTTTAGTATGAATTGATTCCCTTTGTAAATTAGCCTATTAATCATTCTTATGAGCAAACACTTAACTTCTCAGTCAATTTTGAAATGGGGATGGCTTTCCTTTAGAGGCCAAATGTCTAGGACATTGCTTATACGAAAGTTCTAGGAATTTCTCGAGCAAAAAATATTATTTTTCATAGCATATTTGTCTTACTTAAGTGTGGTCCACTTTAAAAGATTTTAACTCCACAAAATTTTGTTGCCTATCAATCTAAATTTAGAATTGATCTAACATCTATTAGCCCAATTATCAGTAAGTGTATTTCTACCTATGGGTATCTAAGCTTTATTGTGGACCATTAAAGTTCCTATAATAGTGTCTTTACCTAAGATTGCATAGAATTCTAGTAATTGTCTAGTAGGTAAATTTTTAAAATCATTTGCAAGTTATAATACTCAAGATTTGCATCTAGCTCGGATAGACAAACTATCTCTCTATCTAGGAAGAATCCTAGTACTATTTTATTTTTGTATAGGTAACTCCTAGATATAAGTCTTGATTACACTATGTACCTACAAAGTAATCTAAGTGTATTATCACACCTTTTTTGACAATAATAAAGGTACCAAGAGTCAGACTTCTATATGCCTTGAGCAGAATACTGTCAAGTATTTCAGTCGGTAATTCATCGAGCTATTTAAGTAATTTTGTTAAATCTATCATTTGTTGGCATAGTTAAGTATACAAAATAGTTTAGTTTTTGCTTTTTTATACTTTTGCCTAGTCACACAGAGTGGAGATCAGCCAGCTTCCATCTAATTCTATAAGAAAAATGTATCTTTTGATAGGTGTGGTGAATTGCTGGTAAACATTCTTATTTTGTCTACCCTAATTCCCCCATTCAACTTAGTAGAGGGTCGTCAATCCTTAATCTCTCCACCTATGTGTGCAGGAAGTCCTCCCTTTTTTTCCTGTGTTTAGTGTAGTTAAGATTAATTTAGTGCAAAGTCTCTATACCCAATTCTAGAGTAGTTTGCCTACTTTGGCTTATAACTAACCTTGCCCTTATAACTATAGAATTAAAAAGAGTATTCAATTGTTCTTGGCAAATCTTGAGCAAACCTCTTTTAAATGGTTCAACACTAGGGACTAATTTGAATGGGGCATGGAGATCAATCTGTGAAATTTCATTATATAATCAATACAAAAGTTAAATTATTTAGCACATGATAGTTGTTCTAGATCAATTTGCTTGTGGAATGACTTTAGATAGCTTTTCAAACATGTGATAACTAATTTGTGGAAGATTTTGCTTTAGATGTAGACAAAAATTGTTTTTTAAGGTAAGTTTTTCTCTAGCTTATTCACCAACAGTCAATTATGGTCAATACAAATCTTTGTTCAAGCTTGTATGATAAATTTTTAGCTTTGCAATGTATTTCAAAATTTCTGGAAGTGTCTAAGGTTATTTCACCTTTTTAGACAAAACCCTTATCTAATATCTTTAAGCTTATTTTAGCTCTTTAAAGATCAAAGTGTGTCTCCAAGATTGATACATTTGCCTAACAACAAGTTCTATAGCTCTCTATTCCATGTTTATAGCATGAAGCCTCTCAACTGCTTTGTCTAGCAAAAACTCAATTAACACATAAGGTGATTTATATATTCCAAACATAGGCAAGATTGAGTTACAACTCTTATTGTAATAGTTGTATAATTTTGCCTATATGCAAAATATTGACTATCTGAGAATTATCTTTTGTAAGGAGGTTTACGTTTCACAAAGGGTGGTTCACACCTTGCAAAAGGTGTTTCATGCCTAAAGTGATGAGTATTTCCCTTAACAATTTAGTGTTGCTTAACTAGTTTGAAAAATGAATTTTCATGTCTATTCACTTGTATAAGGAGAAATCAAAGGCAATCACGTGAAATATGCCCTATATCCCCTGAAATGAGGTCTAGACAAAGAGTAAATAGGGCTAGATGTTATGTGAATGCTCTCAGAATCTATAGGAGAGTGATAACTTTCACACTAAACAGTGTTTGCAAGCTCTCTTTATATAATAGATAAGCTTTGATTAATTCGTTTAAGTGTACTAGACATAAAGTGGTTTGAATGGTTATAGTGGTTCATGATAACTATTTCCAAATTTTCAATTTTATGAGTCTTGTTTGAATTTTATAAGCTCTTATAATATGCATAGAAGACTTAAACTCGGGACAAGTCTATTCTAAAACTGTATATGAGTAGTAGTTAATGTTAAAGGACCTTGGATCAAAGTCTTGAGACAACACAATGTTTTAATTATGATTTTTCTTTTATTAAAGCCTCATAAGATTTGGATGAATAGTTCCTCAATTTATTCTTCACTAAGACTGGCTTTAACTCTCTTTAAACTGGAGTCAAAAACAAAAGTTATAAGTGCCCAATTTTCCTACTTATGTATGCCTAGAAAAATTGTGACACGCTACTAAAAAAAGTGTGTTTTAAAAACCCAAGTGAGAATTTACTCAGAAGGAAAGAATTCTAGAGTAGTTGATTGTGTCTTCCATATCAAACAAACTCCATTCCTTTTTTTTTTGGATTTTTCTCAAGAAATTGTCAGTAAAACAATTTAAACTTGAGTTTTTTAGTAATATATGTTGTACTTCAATTTTAAACTCGTCCTATGCTCTATGGC